GTATTTAACCTAACTTTATAAGTATTTATTTTTCAGTTTTAGTTACAATTTTAATATCTGCATAACATGTTATTTATTTATGGCTACGTTTTGATATAATTAACATTTTAATTGATCTTTTATAAAAAAATAAAAATATTTAAAACAGCTTTCCATGTTCTGGCATAAAAATCACACATTAAAATAATTAGATTTTCAGTTTTATTTATCTTCGAAGTAAGAGAGTATGAAGATTGTTTTCAATGGTAAAAATTCAGTTATTGTTATTTTTCCGTTGATTTTTATTTGTTTAAATTTTTGATGTATCAGTTTAATTACTTATGTTATTAAACATACGTGAAAAATGCATTCATTTTGTTACGTTGGTATAAAAGTATATGGTAACAAATAAAATATAGTATAATGATTGTCGACTAATTAATAAAATTAAAATGTAAAGCTATAATTTATAAATATACAATAGAATTTTTTACACAGTTTTTAAACATATTTTTTACGACTTATTTTAAACAAAATAGATAACCGAAAAAAGTATTTTATTATTTTTAGAGATAATATAACTGTTGTTATACATATATTTCAAGTGTATTATATTTCTTAATAATTAAATATTTGTTGCATAATAGAAAAGTGATGTTAAACTATACCGTTATGTTATGTAGAATTTAACCATTAGAATTTTCGGTAATTCCAATACGTTATAAGAAAGGTAGCATAGTATACCTTTTATACTTTTAATTATATTATGCTTTAAGTCTGATAGCTCTATAATTACAATTTAATTTTATTTATTGATTAATTTTACGCCATTTGGTTTTATACGGAATAACTATAAGTTATCTTAAAACTTATAATTTATGTTCGTTATTCTTATATAGATATTTATTTATTGTATTTGAAAACATATTTTATTTTTAAGAGTTTTCTTATTTTATTAGATGTAAAACATGATTAATAATTTATATTGTCTTTCACATAATTTATTGTTTGTGTTTATATACGTAAATGAAAATCGCACATCGATATAATTTCTATATTGATAGCCTAAAATGCTTGATAAAAGTTAAAAATATAAATTGTTTTAAAATAATATAATATTATAATGTAAATACTATTTCTAAATATTATTGTTTTTTTTAATCATAAGTATAATATTTAACTAGCAATTCCTAAAGTATCTGTATACTGACTAATACTATTTTTGCATTTATTATACTATGATAATGAACTAACTTCTATAATATTCTTGTTCGAAGTTTTATTTATTTATTCATTAGTAATTTAAAAAAAATATATTACTTTTATTATTTATAATTATTTTTGCATGCTACCTATGTAATATGTATTTCATTCTCTCTCTCTCTTTCTCAAAAAAGTTATCTAAAAATAAAATTTCTGGTAATTCCTAGTGACTGATACTAAAATGAATTTCTTTTTTCTTATAAAATATTATATTTTTATTCAAAATTGTGGTACTTTTTTCAAAAATTTAAAATGTTTATTATTACAAAAAGATTAAGACAATTAGTAAAATTTTAATATTTTGAATGTTTTACCTTTAAAATTAATTAAATAAATGAAAACTTAAAATTCTATAACTGTTTATAAACGTTTACTTAAGATTTGGGGCTGTGAAGGTGAATAAATTAGATTAATTTTTTTCTGCGTTTAATGTGAGAAGTATTATCGATAGTCTTTTATATTCCATGAAAATGTGTGATTCTTAATAGCCTTAAAAATATGTACGCAACTTCTTCTTTCTAACATGTTTGAATTATTAATTGTTTAATTAATTATTAACATTAATAAATCTGATACCGATTTCAACTCGATTTAATTTAAAGTAAATATAGCAAATTGGGTTTATGAATTTATCTTCATTATAATATCATTATATAATATCTTTTGGTTTAATGTTGTAAATCGCATAATTGTATTGATAGTGAAATGCAGTCAACGTGTTTTATATGCTATTCAGAATTATAAAATGTATATAGAAAGATCTTTTATCTTATATGTTTTGTATACTTTTTTTTTGTATTGGATAACATTTTATAATATGTTTAATATGAATATTAAATGTCCATGTCGTCGCTATATATGCATATTGTTCCATTTTATTGGTTTGTTATATAAAATTATTAACTATCTATTAATTAAATATTTATCTCTAGTCATATTGTAAAATATTTTAGGTGTATATGCATAAGATATGATAAATTCGTTGATCTACATATTTCTGGTTTGAAATGATCTACTAATCATAGTTAATATCTAAAATATAAAAAATAAGATATGTTTTATGGCTTAGTTAATAGAAATATATTACAATTCTTATGAATTTCAATAGTTTAAAGAATAAGTAACTCACGAATATTAGTTTTTTAAATATAGTTAATATATACAATAAGTTATAATAAAATTATAATTTAATGTCTTAAAATCAGTATTTCAAAGCCAACAACATTTTTAGAAAATAATTTTGTAATAGTTATACCATTTATTCTTTTTCTTAGATAAATGATTGTATTAGAAACCTAGATGACAAACATTTTGATTAACGGGTATGTTATTAGATGTTCTAAACGTGAATTGTAGAAACTAAAATGACGTTTCATTACAAGCTGCTGAAGGTTATTTATCTCCCAAGTTTTGCTTTTAATTACAATTTGATGGATTGCCATTTTTAAAATAAGGATTGATTATGGTTTAAACTATATAAAACATATATGGCTATTTCAATGTTTATAATATAGTAAGAGTGATTATAAAGTTAATATAGTTTATAGGTAGTGATAGGAAGATCGAAGAAGATATTGAAAAACAGAATACCGAGAATATGGGAGGTGTAGAATTGAACATGTTTTATGAACCAATATAGAGTATTTTCTTTGAAGCTCGATGTTGAACCAAAATTAAAATTAATATAAAAAAAAAACATTTATTACATGTTTCTAGATTCTCAAAAATGATTTGTTTAAATTTTGTTTGTATACTTCAAAACCATTCGTTTTTACTATTTGTTTAATGATACACATTTTCATTTTTATTAGTTCTTTAAACTATTGTCGAATGTCTTTTATATTGTTTTCATTTTAATTACGATGAGGTCTGTTGCATTTTAATTAATGATTCAATTTTATTACAACATGTATATTATATAGTTCATGTTTTATAGATTGTTTTGATTAAGTGTATTAGTTATTAAAACTTAATAAACATATTAAATTCAAAAACGATATAAAAAGTTGGATTTGATAAAAAAAAAAAAGAGTTAGAGGCCATCTTATAAAAAAATTGTTTAAAATAACCAGAGATTAAATTAAAATTAAAATGTATGACAACAAGTCAGAAGTTTTCTTTATATAATGTTCTGTTTATTAGTACATTTAATTAGCTATGTATTATATAAGTATAAGTTTAATAAACAGTTAAGTTAAAAAAAAAAAAAAAAAACTTAGTAGAGTATTTTTTTTTGATTTTCCAAGACTCTCGTCTCTAATGAATTTGGTTGACGATAAGCTATTCGACAGTCTTGCAAAAAAAAGGTCGTTGGCTTACGATACTATGACTTGCTGGCACGGTGTTCACCGAATGTTTTGAGCAAATCCTTATGAGGATTTTTTTAGACAAGTCCTTTTTTTTGTTGATGGCACCCACTTTATATCCATATATTTGAAGGAGATCCTTTTGTTGTGTCTGTCAAAACGTAAATAAGGCATTTACTGGTTAGAGTGGCAGTAATTATTTAGTTTTGTAAGATCAATGAGCGTGATGATGATGGTGTGTTAATAATGTTGACAAAAAAATTGGGAAAAACAATTAAATTTATTTTATTTGAAACTATTAAAAAATATCTTTAAACCTATTTTAATATGAATTATGAACACTGATAACCGGTATATACATATGTTTTATAAACAATTTTTCGATTGTTCGAATTTTCGAATATAAATTACAATTTATTACCTATGTTTTTTGTTTTAATTAATAAATTACCTAGATAGGAATGTCTTATTTTTAAATAAACTAAAATTTAAACGGTCACATTTAAAGTTATGACTTGAATTAATTTAATTGTTGATATCAATGAAATATTTATGTATAATAATATACTCTTTTTATGTAAACTTGCATTTCTATATACTTTCGTATTAATTAGTCATTTAAAATAATTTAAATTTTTGTTTCAACTATATTCACTTTCAAAATTAATAATGTTTATAAAAAATATTTAATAACCTAATTTTTAATAAATCTTGGGATTGTGAGGGTAGACTCAAAATCGAAGAACATGATATTAAGCAAAAAAAATAAAATAAAAATATTTTAATTATTTTATATTTGTTATTTGATTTATTATAACATCAGTACCTACATTTTTTTGAATAACGAAATAGTAGTATTATTATTATGTGATTTGTTTATTTTTATTGTTCGTTTGTAACGGTCAGCCTCGGGATACCACGAGTTGTATACAACTGTTATATTGAAATTTTACTATTCTACGTTGTCTATTAATTGCTAATTTTATAATGCTAATCAACGACATCCACTGTAGCAGCGGTGTCTGTGTTTGATACATATTTTTAAACGATTTTACTTGGCTGTTTTAAAACATTCATTTCTATACTGTGTTATATATAATTCACTTATAATATAATAATATATACTTCGTTGTTTTATTGATTTTATAATAGTAACTTTAAGTGACTCGTGGACGCGTAATAAATTAAATTTAAGACTAGTGGTCTGACAGATCAATGAATTGTGATTATGATTCTAGATTCGAAAAAGATTCTTAGTCCATGTGGTGTGAATTTATTAATGAGACTGAAGGAAAAAATAAGTATAAGACCATCAGTTTGATGTAATAATATTAATGGTCTACTCCTAAATTCTCCAAATCCCCATCTATATATTAATTTTTATAAATAATTTTTGCCGTGTGTTATATATTTTATTTGACTAGGTACTATTATTTTCTTTTATGTTTCTAGTTCGCCAAGGAAAAAATCTCATTCCTATGGATCCTAACGGGTCATCAGACCCCTATGTAAAATTGAAACTTTTACCAGATACAGACAACATAAAGAAGAAAACCAAGACAATCAAATCATCGTTAAATCCCGTATGGAATGAGACAATTACGTTGTGAGTATGATTTTACTTTTATTTTGACGCTTAGCTATTTTGATTTGTGATAATAGCTTTTTTAAATAATATTATTTACAATAATTATTCTTTCACACATTTTGATTTCACGGATACTATGAACAAAAAGTAAAATAACAATTTATTTTCATAGTTAATCTGCCCTTTTTCAAAATTCCAATAACACTTCTATCGACCGTGTACGAGATTAGGATGAAAGATACCTGCTGCGAATTTGATTGATTAAGAATGTCACATGGGTTTTTGTGTTCGGAATGTGGTGGAGTATTATTAATTCGTTTGATGTCCATGGGTTCCATTTTAGATCGTATCTTTCTATTTTACCCCAAACCTCTACCCCCTAACCGCCTAAAAAAGTTGAGGCAACCTAAATATTTTCATTTCATTTGTTCTCGTGGAATTCTATTAACGTTTATATTGTTTGTTCGACAAAATGAATGAAACTTACAAAAACAAATAGATTTGAAATCTTAGTTTACAATAGTATAGGTATAAAGTATACATTTAGGGACTAGTTTCCGGGGATTTTGATTTATGAATTTACGATTATATTATTATAATTCTATCAAAATAGCAAACAATAAAGGCCTATGTATAAAGTTGAAGTGTATAAACTTGTTAGGAAAACTAATTTCTGTGCGTACATGTAAAGATTTTAAAGTTTTTGATTATAAAAAGATAAAATAGGCTATTGAAATATCAAGAAAATATATGGTCAATGTGTTTAAAATTAGTTATTTATGTGATAAATATTACAGTAATATTAACTAAAATAATAATTTTATAATTAATTTTTCTAAATACAATTTACTTGAGACACATTTTATATTAATATGAATTTAAAGATTATCAAAACAATACAAATTTATGCTTTCATTAAAAATATACCATATTTTCAAATCATTTTTTGAATAATACAATTTTAAATAAATAACTTTTAAATTAATCAAAACTCATTCAATATTAACTTGATTATTTTTGTATTTTATGTATAAATATTAAAATTTTGCCTATCATAATCATAATAATATAATTAATGAGTTATATTTTATTTACATGATTTTTTCTATCTATTTGCTACGATTGGTGAATACAATTATAAATGTTTCCTCAATCACCGTATTAACTTATTAAGTATTGAATGATTTTGTTTTAGATATTTTTTTATTTTTTTTTTTTTGGAAAGTATTTAAAACTTTATAGTTATACCAATATCAATGTAATAGATAATAATATACAGAGAGTCTGCTCAAACATAAAATTTGAATATTTAATGAAAATCAGTTATTTAACTTTTAAAATATTTATGTATAAATAAATTTCATTAATTGGCTATGTAAAATTTCTAAAAAACGTAAAAATAAAATTTTTTATTTCCAGAAATAATATAGAAAAAAAAATAATCTATAAATTATAATAGCTATGATTCTTTTGGTATGACATGCTAAAATTAAATGGAAAAAATAGTTTGACATCTATTGTATTATTTACTTATTCAAATAAAATTATTTGTACCAAATAGAAGTTTTTATTTTAATATATTATATCTTTTACTTTGTGTTTCTGTCTTTATCAATTCAATTTTTGTAGTTCAAAACTTCTGGAAAAAAACGATTATTGTATTTTATTATAACAGTAATTTAATATAATGTTTATCAATTTTTTTTCTTTTTAAAGTATCATTAGTTAGTTACCATAAGGTTAAAATATAATATGTCAAATAAGCTACAAAATAAAAAGTTAAAACATTAATATGAGTTACAAATAATAAATTATTAACAACGTTGATAATTATTTTTGAGGTTTTTCATGAAAGTTATTCATTTTTTATTTTTATAAGTGATTGCTAATTAGTAATACAAATTATATTTTCACTCTGTTTTAAGTAAAAATAATTAATTTAATAATTTAATTGATGGTTAAATTTTTATTTTTCAATGTTTTTAAAAACGAATTTTATAAATGTTTTTAATTTTATTGTATTTTTACAGTTTTAAATGTTTTCATGGTTCATATTATGATATAATGTTCACTATATTACTTGCTCATTAATTATTGAAACAAAAAGATGTATTTCTAAAAAATAAGTACGTACCGTTAAAACCAATTATTCTTTGCTCTGTACGGAATTCCAAACTTTTAAATTTAATATACCATTTAAAATGATTTTATTTTTCATCCTAATGAGGGTAAAAAATAAAAATATGTTTATTATACTTTCTTCAATTATTTATGTACAATAATATTTTCAGACTTACCTTACTGATCAATTTATTAAATCTTGGATGCATATCTGTATTATTTCAAAATTTTATTTATGCTAATTTAAATTAAAATGTTTAAATATCAGAAGAAAACTAAAAAACATGTATTACTTAAACATCGATTTGTATTGATTATAATTAGAATATAATTTAGCTGCATATTTTACATTCTCGAACTCCACTAAACATGGTACATTAGTACATTTTTGGTTCAATCTACTTTTTATTTATCTCACCAAAAACAATGAATTATAAAACAAATTACTCAAGTTTTCTATGTAGATAGAATTTCTTTAGTTCCTTAATAAAAAAAACTATTAAATAGTTTTCTTTTTCTCTTTTTTCTTCCATATTGTATATTATGACTATATTACAAGAAAAATCAGTTGCCAAATAAATTATCGACAGCAGCGGTAATTGATTGTTTTTATTTCAGTGGAATTTTGATTTCATACTGTTAAATCATAATATTATTAACAGAATCAAATGAAAATGCAATTTCACTCATATTTCTATTTAAAAACGCTGTTCGGGTTTCTCGATTTTTTTTATTGGTGCTGTAGTATATATGAAATAATATTGTATTTATTATGTTCAATATATGTCATCGGAACTCCCACCAATTTTGTCACAAAACCTTAACGAGTGTCCAACCATTGGCGTGTGAACTCTTCAAAAGACCACTCCCACTGTCTCTAGCAGCTGTCACGCGGGCAGTGAGAATATTATATTATTATGTTTTTTTAATGTCAAAATAATATATTATATCTTCGCCTTGGCGTACTGATGTGAATTTGGTAAACATCTAAAACCTTTAAAATGCCTTAATTGTGTTCACGTGTCAATCAAACTGGACGCTCGTGCCTTTACGTTGTTATTGCGCGTAACACTTATACGGAAGTAGAATCATGTTATCTGTTTAACTAGAAACGTTCAGGCAATTTGCGTACAACCGTCCTACAAATTACAGCGCTGCACCACGTACGTACCTACCTATTTACCTACTCACCTACCCACCTATCCACCTACTCACCACTCATCCATTCACCTACCCATAACTTATTGCAAATCCAACGAAGCGCTCTTTATCGTGGTAACGAATGTGTCGCACGCGGAACATTCGTCAATTCATTGTTAACACAAAATCTAAGTGCCCATTTTCCGGGAACTTGAAATATTTAATTCACTTAATCCGAATGGCCAATGACATCAATGTGGTTTTTTCTATTGTCGTCGGCGCTGGGCGCGTATTAAAACATAATATGTAGCACTATGTATTACGGCAGTGTAACACGCTCATCTGTTCCGACGTATTAATGGTGTTCAACACCCCTGGTGCGTCAAAAATACCAGGGCTATTATGGACCTTGCTATATTTTTTCTTTATTTTTTTACTTCATGTATACTTATTTGCGTGATTACTAAATATTTTACTTTGATATTGAATATTTCGACAATGAGAAAAAAATATAGGAATATATTTCTTTGAATTTGTGAGCTTATTTTAACGAGCTTAATAAACAAAAATTCAAATTGTCAAATCATATTGTGGCTTATGGAATTTCAAATTTCAATATTAATCAAAGTATGACTAGAGCTTAAAATATACACATTTTAAGTTTATATACTATTATAGTTATACTTAGTTAATAAAATCAGATTCCCCGTGTGTCGTGTCAGATTCTTTAAGTTTTATTTTCTTTAAATTTCGTTTACCTGTAATAGATCGTACTTAGTTATACATAAATATTTGAATGTGTGTGTGTAAACAAAAATATTTTAATGATGTAGTGATGGATTCAGTTTTGTCAAGCAAATAAATATTAAAACAGAAATACAATTGAATTATCATATGTTTCAATTATTTCATTGGCTAAATCGAGTTCATGATTAAATACTAAAAAAAATTATTTTTATTTTATTAAGTTAATTTAGCTATGTTTAAAATAAGTTTTTAGATAAATAATCTTTGTATTATTTCTTGCATAGTGTTTAAAGTTAGTATTGTCTTTTGCGGAAAATGTAAACTCATTACGCGGCAAACAGTTTTTAGATTCTGAAAAGAGCGATGAATGTATTGATTTTACAATGATGTCTGTTTTTTTTGTTTTTTTTATCTAATGTCCCCTTTAGGATCAGTAAAAAAAGCTTCAGTTTTAAACTTTCAGAGTGGTTTCTGGTAGCAAATTGAATCTAGTAAGTACTTCGGGAGATCGAAAGTTAAATTCTTATCTACCTTTTTAAAACAATCGGGAAATACTAAAAAACGATTTAAATGACGATTTTTCTCCAACGGTTTAGAAATTAAATATTTAATTTAGGGAATTGAATAAACTTTTCATTTTTTACATTATTATTTTTTTATACGAAATGGAATTTTAAAAATATTTAGATGAATAAATTTTAAGCTATTATACCTGCACTAACTTATTTATACAATTATATTATACGATTAGATTATTGCCTTATAAAATATCTTTAGAAATGAAAAAAACGGCTCAAAACTATTTTTTATAACTATGCAAAGATTAATCATTGAATTACAATTTTAAATATTTTAATACTAATTACAGTGAGTTCGGTGGTTAGGTCTTATGCCGTGTGCCAATTTATAAAAATGCCCTAATATACTTTATATTTTTCGAAGGGGAAAATTACTTTACATTGGTTAAATAAATATTTAAATTTTATCAAAACTTAAAAAGATGTAATTATTTTAGTATTGTGGTATGATTATGATAAGAAAATAATTCGAATAATAAATATGAAACAACATTGAATTTTATGTTCGACTCAAATATAACATAACTTGTCTACTATAATTATCAATTGTGTACACAAGTTTTTTTTAATATTTTTTTTTTTTTAAATTACAATTAAAAGTTATCTGTAGTCCGTTAATTTTATTTATATTATTATACAATAATGACTGAACAAAAGAACAAACTGTTTACAGAGATATTCAGTTTCACGTCTAGTCATAGAATCTACATTATTATCTTGCAAAATCTCAAATAAAGCATCGTATATTGCTCCAACAAAAAGGTTTAAGAGATTCAATTCTACTTTCCCCACCTTGCCTGACTTAATGGCTTTACAGTTTAATTTGTAATATACTTTAAAAAACTTACCAACGGTGTGTAGATTCCGAAAAAAAGTTAACTTTTTAAATCATATTGAAAAACTCAATCACTCCTTTTGATGATTGAACTGCATCATTTACAATAAGATTTAATGAATTTGCGTTGCAAGGAACAAAAAAAAGCGCGTGAATTCTTTTTTTGTACACCAGAATGTTTGCTCTCGTATCCATGGCCTCTCATATTTTCAATTGGAATTCCTAAGTTCTTCAACCGTTGTACAATAATGTCAAAAAGGTCCATTCCAGTATTACTTTCCACAAGAATAAAACGGAAAAAATGTTCAAAAGTTGTAACATATGAGTCTTTATTAGATGAATCAACAAATACAAAACGGATATATTCATGGTCATTTGTTCAGTGTGGCTTAAATTAGGATGCCCATGTATTTTGAGTATGGTTGGTACTATTATTCGTAGATACCAATTCATGTTCAATAGATTGTTGGAAAAAAATTTTAGTTATCATGCTTGGTTTTTATAGTTAGTTCTTTTTCACATTTTCTTTTTCTATATTTAGCTTCAGGAAGACGTTACCTTCCATTTGGCATACATAAATTAAACCGGGATAAATTAAAAAATAATATTTTTTGTTTTATTTTTAAATAAAATTGTTTAGTTATGATTGCTAGTACCTATATTAAGTTGTTAAGACATAAAAGTCAGTAAGCAATTTAATAAAAATACTTGTAAAAATTATACGGTGTTACCATATATTATATTTTATTTAAAAATATTACTTTTGACTAATTATAATAAAATATTTATATATTATAATTAAGGCTGAAGACTTCTAGTAATTAATAATCTAAAAATATGTGTATTATGTTACGAAGCGACAGTAAATAAATAAAATAACCTTCTAATGAGAAATGTATAATCTAACACAGACCATAGTGGCATAGTGATGTAGTTATTGTTTATATCAATGATTATTATTTATACTCTATAGTGAATCCTTATAAATATCATAACGCAAGCTATAAATGCATATAAAAACAAACAATAATAGGTATAAGAATTATGGGAATAGGTATTTTAGAATATTACATTATCTTGAACTACTTTATATTTTTTGTAGTTAATTATTCTTTTAATAAATAATTTAAAGTTGTAATAATCTCTAATAAATTCTCCTATTCAGTATCGTTAGTCTTTCATGATGGTCTACGTATTGTCCGAATAGCTGCCCCTTATCTTATTTCCACCTAGTGCTAATGCACTGTCAAAACATATCTTGACATAATCTTGAGTTAGCTACTTAATAATAAAGTTTACTTTTAAAATTTTAAAAAGTTATTAATATTGATCAAAAAATAAATAATTCATTTTTTCTTTGGAAAATACTCAAATCGTTTTTTTCTTTACGTGAAAATTATTATTTGTCAAAAGTAACTTATTAATGACAAAAATGTATTTTTACGGGAATAGTTTTAATGTAATTTATATAATAACGTAGAATTGTTACCTAGATTTTTTAGTTTTAGAACCGTTTATTTCATTAAACGTTTAACTTTAAAATTACTTTTTAAAGTTTGAAATTAAATGTTTATGACTTGAAAGACAATAAATAATTGAAGAGATATGAGTGTTTAAGGAAGTCCAGAGAAAGTAGATTGTAAATCAAATCAATTTATAAACTCTGTCTTTACTTGACATTAAAGTTGACATACGAAACTTATGAATCTTGAAATTCAATCGCAAAACTTACTTTCTATTGTTCCAAAGAAAACGTCACAGCAATGATAAAACTATAGAATTAATTTGTGCAGTGAGCTGAAGCCTGAAGATAAAGATCGCAGACTATTGATTGAGGTGTGGGATTGGGACAGGACGTCCAGAAACGATTTCATGGGATCTTTGTCGTTTGGAATATCGGAACTGATCAAATCGCCAGTAGAAGGTTGGTTCAAACTATTGACTCAAGAAGAAGGGGAATTCTATAATGTACCAGTGCCTGAAGAAGGTGCTGATTTAGCTGCTCTAAAATATCAAATGAGGGTAAGAAAATCATAATTAATTCTTTTAAGAGGACGCTTCACCCGCATGTGTTTGTCTCCTTCTTAGAAACGTAAAACATAGTAAAAACCGTTTCATGTGGACAAGAATTACTCGGGCTGTAGTCTGAGTTAAATAACCAAATTTTTACATTATTAAAAAGAAAACATTGACTGTGCAATATAATTTTTATTATTTTTATATCAATTATATGAAAAAAGTTCTTATCGTTTCAAAATCCATTATTTTTTTTATAGTTTTAATATCGAAAAAGTAAAAAACGATATTACACAATCAAAGTTCTCCTCTTTCTAATATAAAATTTTGATTGCTTAACTTGGATTATACTCTAAGTGGTTCTTGACCATGTGAAATAGTTTATACTATGTTGTACTTTATAAAACGGTGAAAACATATGCAGGTGAAGCATCCCTTTAAGTAATATGAAGTACCTATTTTGATTTATCCTTCATCATTTAATTCTATTTGCGTGTGTACGTTTGTGTGTTGTGTATCTATATAAACTTTGTGATTAAATTATGAAAACATTCATGCAAATATGATAACGGCATATAAGTAAAATTGGTTCTTTTTGGTAATAACGCTATAAAGATTTAGGAACTAAAATCTTTCAATTTTGAACAGCATGATGAAACTTTTGTACTTCTATTTTCTTCTCCTATCTTCCTTCTTTTTTTTTTTTGCTACTAAAGTCTGAAATATATCTTTTTTTGTTCTATTTAATTTTGTATATTTATTAAAAAACTAATGTTATTCACGTTTGTGTAAGCATTGCACATTCATTAATTTATATTTATATCTATCTTAACACAGGGCTCAAAAACGCAAAGTCGAAATTCGGTTCGTTTCAAATTTAATAAAATACTATGTAGTTTTATTTTGTATATTAGCGAATAGCATGTATATATTTTAGAAAATATTTATATGACTGTAAAATGTATTTTAATTAAAATCTTAATTGAAAATAAACTTGATCAAACTTATTCCGTCCACTAAAGATAACAGTGTATATAGTACAGTTTTACTTCAAGTTTTCTGTTAGAATATAACTGTAAATATGTATTTTTCATGATAAATTTCTATAAAAAATAAATAAATTTTACAATTATTTCTAAATTCAATAATATATTTGGTTCTATTTAAGGAAATTTTAAAATAAATTCAATAATAATAATGAAAATAATTATTACTAATTCCATAGAATACTTATGGCCTAATGTATTGTTTTTCTTAATAGTACGTCTTATATTATTACAGTTTCACATAATGATAATAACCCAACATTTTTTGATAATAGGTTTATCAAATTTTAATTAATTAATATTTTAATGTTGCTTATGTATTATTTTAGAAAATAATTTCTTGTTAATTGTAAAACGATTAGCAACATAATATTATCAGGAATTATATTATTTGTAGTTGAACTCTACAAAATATCCTTTGTTGTGTAGTATTCATAGCTCTAGTATATGGTTAATGATTTTTGTAAATTATTTTGTGTCTTATAAGTATTTATTATTTTCGTATAATGAACAATCAAAAACAAAGAGTAGCTACATGTATATATGTCTGATAAACATTTTTTTTTAGTAAAAAGTAAAAAAAAATATTCATTCTAAATGTATGTTATTAAATTTAATGGTATGTATTCGTATAAATTAAATATCAGTTAATTAAAAATTTAATTTTCAATCATATTAATCCCATAAATAAAACAATTTCCATTATAATTTTAGCATATGCTATAAAACTAACTTTTATATACTTCTTAAAATATAAAATATACAAAAGATAATTTTATGTATTAAAAAATAAAGATAAAAAAATCATTGCATTAGTATTCAATTTCTTAAAAATTATACAGACATAAAAAAAAATTAATTATAAAGCAAGTTAGTAATTTATAATTATTTTATAATAGTTATTTTAATTTATTTTTTTAATCGTTGAAAAGTCCATATACGAATTTTGATCTTTTAAAATAAACTAGCATACCTTGAATATTAAAATATTACTTTTAGTAACTGCGCTTTATAGTACTTGTTATTATTATGATTCATAAATAATATACACGTTCCATTATTTATAATTAAAAACTAAAAATTTAGGTAGATGATAATATTATTTTGTTAATTTTTAGTCTTTATACAGACATTTATGTTAGTTGTTTTATTCTTATTATTATTATTTACTAAACGGAGAAAACAAAAGAAGGCCAACTAACAATACGTTAAATTTGTTTTGGGTAATAGTTTTAAACCTTCATTGAAATGAAAGAAGTAAACTACGAAGAAAACTGTGTAATAAATTATTCATCAACTCACTTTACCGTCAATCAAAACTCCTTGTGTTTTTTTTTCATTAAATTTGAAATGTGGTTTTAGTTTCACAAAAATGTTTAATCGAAAACTTGGTTTAAACGTGAATATTTGAGTAAATATAATTATAAGGACATGAAAGACTCAAGTTTAAGTATATATCTATATTGTTTTTGTTTTTCATTTTATATAATACAAACAAATAAATATATTTTTTTCAATAAATAAATTTATTAAATTGTTTTATATAGTTAAGTAACACAATTTGATTAATTTATAACAACAAAACAGATAAACACATTATACCTTAAATTATCGAGTTACTTTTACTAAATTTGAAAACCGTATTTTAATAAAATTGTCTGTATTAGCTACGGATATTTTAAATATTTAAGGTAATATAATTATTGTAACTTTTCTATGAAAAAGTATTTATTTTTAAAACGAAACGATCTTCATATTATATAAACAAATTTCTTAGAAATATTTATCACATACTATGATTTATAGTAATTTAATATCATGTTTTTAAATTTACCAAACAGCGAGAATGCTATTAATGTATTTTATCTGATATACTATTAATTTAGATTAATTAGTAGATTAATAGATTAGTACATTCTGTACTATTAAGTGTTTAAAGGTGTTTTTTTTTCTTTTATGATAAAGGAAGACGTGATAAAACATATAATTCTATGAAACTGTAATACTCGTTAAAATTTCTTTATACACTTATAATCAAATTAGGAGAGCCAGTTTAGAAGTTTTTAAAATCTCTTAACAGCAATTAAATAAGTGTGAATTCTATTTGTTTTTTTGCTGAGTACTGATAACTTTGAATAGATTTAATACTCTATTTGTACTTTAATAAGTAGTCAAATATAACATCAATTTAATAATGATGTAAAATACTTGATAATACTTCGTCAGTATCAATTTAAAATATACTTGTAAACTGATTTAATCTATGCTTTTAATTCAGTATCATAACATTTTTAGACTTTTTAGATTTAGATTTTAATGTCGAGAGAAAAATATTTTATGGTTAATTTTGAAATGTTATCAAATTATGTGTATTAATTCTAATTTAATATTCAATAACTAATAATGCAATTATAGTTATGACATTTTTAAATATTTTATAAGTTAAATTCATCACATAGTATCAAAATTATAAAAAATTATGCTCGAATAATCTTAAAATGTCTATAGTGTTTATTTTTATAACATTTTAGTATAGTTATATTTACTAAATGACAATTTTTGCATAACATTTATTCTGAATTCTAATCGAATTCCCAAAACTTTTAAATTTTTTTGTATTACTAAATATATTAAACCAAATATTTAAAAATTCATGAATTTATGAAAATGTAATGATTTTGTGTTTTTTTTTTTTTTGGGCTTTTCTTAAATTATGTAGTTGCATATTGGTATTCTTTTCAGTTAAAGCTTAGAAGTAGATTATTCTGCTAAATAAGTTTTAAAATATTCTTTTTTATTATTATTGTTATTATTTTATATATTACAAATTATATTCACGTGTTTAGAAGACATCATTAACCAGCAGAAAACCAATGGTGCCTGACAAAGATGTACCTCATAACATGGGGAAAAAAGATGTAATCAGAGCGTCGGATTTTAACTTTTTACAAGTACTTGGAAAAGGCAGTTTTGGAAAAGTAATGATTAGCAACTCAATTGTAATTTTGTTTATTCTTATCGTTCGTTAATTGATTTATTTTAATTATTAGGTAATGTTGGCTGAGCGTAAGGGAACTGATGAATTGTATGCGATAAAAATTTTGAAAAAAGATATAATTATTCAAGACGATGATGTTGAGTGTACTATGGTGGAAAAACGTGTATTAGCGTTGTCTAGTAAACCACCATTTCTCGTACAACTACACTCTTGTTTTCAGACTATGGTAAGCATTCTAAAATGGTTATATAAATGCTTAATTATAATAATAATCATTTCAAAAAGATATTTTGAATAACTCAAATTATTCTAATAATTATGTAGTTAAGTAGAAATTATTTGTAAATTGCTAATTCAGCCTATTTTAAAACTAAAAATTAAACATTGAAACATTTGTGAAAAATACCGTTTTTAAATACATTATTATATTAACTGTTTTTTTTCATCTGAAAAATATAAATTTTTCATTAAATAAAAAAAAATAACATGTTTTTCTAGTATTTTAATTAAAATAATTAAAATTTGTTATAATATATTTAAGGGTATATATATTTGGTGCAAAATATATTTATTTATTTTCAAATAAAAATCTTAAAGTTGTGTATCAAAAGATATTTGCTATCGTACTTAACTTAAATGAACACTTATCATTTCTTATTTTTTTATTATAAAAACATTTTGTCTTTTTCCCATAAAAGACGCATCACTTGTTTTATCTTCGTTTTAAATACGCATATATCTAACATGAAAAATGTACGTTATGATTAATATCGTTTAAATATAACGGTAAATTGACCTATTAACCAGCTTAAAAATAATTACATAATCATCAATTAGTGAGACTTCAACAAGTCTAACATAATTGAACAACAAATAGAAGAATATTATCTAAATTCTTCCATTAATTTTTTTTTCCATTTTCATTTTTACTCCAAAATGATGAAAAAAAAAAAATGTATAATAATTTAAATATAGTTTTATCCTATTTGCCATTGAAATTTAAATACCACAATAATGGACAAGTGATTAAACATAATTATTTTTCTTCTTGAGTACTTGAGATTTTATGATTTAGTTGATTTAGGTAGTTTCTATAAGTTAGTATTATTTTTATGGAATAAAAATAATAAAACTGAATTAATTATGTGGAATGTAAATTTATTATTTATGAGTAATGTGTATTTCGTATGTGATACGGAGACTAGCAAGAATGTATTTTTTTTTTAATATATTTCAATAAGTAAAGTTATATATCAATTAGATAATTTCATAAATTAATGTTGCCTTAAAATTTTTTTCTTATGGACACACTAGTAATACATTTTGTAATAAGCATCAATTTATTTATTTTTTTAATTATATTTTGAGATTCATGCTTCTGTTTATTAAATAGACAAAAAAAATACATTTACGAAAAAATATTTTGATTATACATATTTATTTATATAAAATGGATATCACCTTATATTCTGAGCGGAGCAATGAGTGTATTAATTGTATAGTGATGTATGTGTGTGTATTCATTTTTTTTTTTTTTTTTTGTGCACGATAAGTAACCAACAAATGATTTGATTTTAAACTTTAAGGATAGTTTTGAATAGAAAATTGGATATAGTTTGTATTTCAGTGATCGAAAGTTAAATATTTCCAGTATCTACTTTTTGAAATAATCAGGAATTTATCATAGACGTGGTTTATTTTTATAATCATTTGGAGTTCAAATGTTGATAAAATTCGTGAAAATCTCGAACATATATTGCAACGTAAATTGTTTTGCAGATGGAAATTTATAAAATTTAAAATTTACTTTTATAGCTTAAGCTTAAAAATGTAATAGGTTCAAGTAGTTCATACTGAAACTACAAAATTTAAAAAATTTATAAGCATCATTTTCTTTTAAATATTTTAAATTTAAATTTATGCGAAATTATAATATATTTAAACTATAATTACAATATTCATTATTTTATTACTGTATAAAAATATTATTCGTGAGGATATAAAAATGTTACGTATTTTGATTAAATAATATACACACAATGATATTTTCAAATGCAATATTTCGGCAAAAAATAATTCTACCTATTATATTACTAATAGTAAAATAAATTACTTTACCTAATGAAACATAATAAAATATAAATTATAATGATGTATAATTGAATTCAAACTTAATATATTCATCACAGTGAACTACTTGAAACCAGAGTACAGCAGAGCGTTATCCCCTTGCTCAATATTTTATGTTGGGGACGTATTTTTTTATTTTCAAAGAAAACTCTTTAAAGAATTTTTACTTACATTTTGAGAGACGTTTTTTTCTCAATAAAGAAATTTCAAAAATTTGTATGTGTTTTGAAGTAAGGTACTTAATTTGAAAATAGATGATATTATTACGAATGAAAACTGAATAAACAATATTGGTTTCATTTTTTATAAAAATTATACAGTATTTAATAGAATTTACGAACGTTTACAATAAATCACATGTTTTATACTTTTTGTTATTATAAAATGTTTTTCTTTCTTTCTTTTTTTTAATGTATACAATTTCAACACAAACTTTGAGTACAAAGCATTAAATAAAACTACACTGCTTACACTATGAATAATTCTAAGACCTGAGAAGGGTTCGTTTTTATATTTTCCGAGATCAACTATATATTTTTTATATCTTAAAAAAATACTACTATATGAAGCACTATGCCCTTTAAGGTATAGTCAGAAAAAAAATTATCTTTGTGACGCAAGTAATTCTTTTTCATTTCTACGAAAATAATCTCACTGAAAATGTCAGATTTTTGTTGTATACATAAATATTTTATACGATATTTGATGCCTCTAGATCCTAGTAAAACAATCATCGGGATGATGTTAATATTTTAAAATACATTAATACATAAAATGTATTAGTACTTTAACCTGTGGTTTGTTTAAAACTTTTTAGAACTTAAAACAAACAACTTCAAATATTGATACTTACTTTTCTAGTTTTAATGACTTGTTTATATAATATTACTATATTATTTTATGTCATAGTTATTTTCATTTTTATTTGTATTCATATTTTATACAAACTTTATTTCATTGAATTTATTATTGGTTTTATTCATTTTTGAATATTAGCTTTTTTTAAAAAAAATATCTTATCTTTTTTGTAGTAGTTTTCATGTAGTTATCAAAATATCATTATGTCAATAATTATTTCGATTTTATGGTTTAGTTTATGTAATAAGATTTTTTTCAACTAAATTATATTAAAAAAATTTATTAGATTAACCTACACTACACCTTGTAGTGATAGCGTTCTATCATTTATGTTATTATTTTTGGTTTTTATACCTATTATTTATTTGTATATTTAATTTCAAATAATAATTTAGTATAATCAATATAATATTATAAGTAATACATTATTACCCACTCTTGGTTAAGCTAGGTTAATGTTTATAATCATAAAAGCAATACAATCTAAACAATTTTAATTGTTTATTGGTTTTAAAATTATTCTAAGCTCACTGAATATTATTTTTAAAATCGCAGCATTCAAATTAAATGTTCATGTTATGATTTATTATGTAGATATAGAACTTATTTTCAATGCAAAATGTTTAATTCCTTATAATTGTTACATTTCTGTTAAACTGCAGCAATTCATTAATTTTCAATTGTTTTGTTATGTTTATTATTGTCATTGATTAATAATACAATATACATATTTGGTATATGTAATCAATACTATTATAATAACTATTAACAATAGAAATGTTTTTAACAATAAACAAATTTTCTTGTATTTTTCACGAGCCATTTTATATTAATAATAATAATAATTATTGATTTGTATCTACAGCTTGATTATATCATGTATTAATTTTAAATTAATACGTTTATTGTTAGTATAAAAACAACGATTTGAGAAATTAGATTATGAAAAAAAAAAAAATAATGTTTTTTCTCAGGATCGTCTATATTTCGTGATGGAGTATATAAATGGCGGAGATTTAATGTTTCAAATCCAACAATGTGGAAAATTTAAAGAACCTGTCGCCGTGTACGTTAATTTTCCCGTGAAGCTTATTTGTATTGTGTTAACGCATAAATATATTTTTTCCAGATTTTATTCCGCAGAAATAGCCATTGGACTTTTTTATTTGCATCTCAACGGTATCATATACAGAGACTTGAAATTGGACAACGTACTGTTGGATCAAGATGGTCATATAAAAATCGCTGATTTCGGTATGTGCAAAGAAGGCATTATGGGCGATAAGACTACAAAAACATTTTGCGGAACACCAGATTATATTGCCCCAGAGGTAAAATATTTATATTTATGGTCGATAATGTGCTTGATAACCTTATTATTTTGGTATCAGATTTTATTATTGCAACTGTACAGCATCGATGTATATATTTTTTATATACCGCAAAAGTAGATTTGATTGTTTTTATGCTTTATCTAACTCACGTGTAACGCGTAGATAAATATGTTACTCCTAAAATATATCCAATACACCGCTAAGCTTACATCAATATTAAATGGAGACTTTTGTATAATTTACAGAATAAAACATTATTAGAATGATTGCTTGTACATTTTGTTCATTGTATTATATTCAGAAGGTAATTATTAACGAAAAAATAATAAATTCCTTAATTTATCCAATTATTATACAGTGTAAATTATGAAATATTGAAATAAGCAAGTAATTGTATTATTTTCTTTGAATTTTAAATTACGTTTGTAATAAAATTCATTATTTACATTTATTTTATTTTTTTTTGAAAGTTGCATAAAAAATACTAAAATTATACGTGCGTAAAAGTGGTATATTTTCATAAAAAATGTTTTTTCAGACCTTCAAAATTTTATTGTAGAATTTTGCATATAATTAGATAGAATTTCCGTTTTATTTTTTAGAATTTGTTTATTTATTATTTTGTTAGAATTGTTTATTAGTTAAAGTTTTTCTTAAACTAATAAGAGATTTAGATCGGGACCACTTCTATAAATTAATTACTTTGAGTATCAAATTATTTGTTCTATAGTTGAATATGAAACAAAATTCCTTTATATAATCCGTTTATTGTAGTAACCTATTAAAATTTCTATACTCAATAGAATGTATAGACTATTATTAATTATAATAAATTTTTAATCATTCTGAGCAAAATTATATAAATGATCTACTGTCCTGTCCCTGTATCATTGTCAAAATATTATTATTTTCCTAAATAGAATTTAAAAAAAATAATATTATTTTAAATCTCAGCTCGTATAAATTTCATTTCATTTCGACATTCAATAGTATTTAAAATGTTGAAGTTCATTAACTGTATTCATTCACAATCTTGAAAGTACCCTAATTATTATTTCGTTCTACTTCGACTAACATTTTTAAATTTGAAAAAGAACAAAAAATATCGTTAATTATGCTTGTAAACTATAAGACCTTTAAAAAACACGACATTGTTTTTTAAACAAGCTCTCGTTATTAAGATGAATTTTTTTGTGTATTTTACGATATCTAAATTTCATAGTAAAAATCAATTGTATTGCTGTTTTACAAAGAAAATATATTTAATTGGTTCTATTCAATTCTATAGATTATTGTCACTTTATGCATATTTACCTACATTTACTTATACATTTAAGACATTTTCGGCACTAAATTTGTGTAACAACAATACTATGTGTGCATATTTACTGATAGTTTTTTTTATTCAGTGTACAATTTATTTAAATCACGTAATAGAATAATTATATAAATATTAATGAATAATAAAAATTTTATCAATCTTACTGGTACTGGACTACCTTTTTTGGTAAACCTTAGTCTAATAATTTATTTTTAAACTTATATTAGACTTTATACTATTTTTTGTAATTTCTGTTAACTACGTATTCAAATTTACACTGTTTGTTTTCATTTTTACATATGTTTTAGTAATTAATAGTACCTACTCTATTTTTTTAAATATTGTAAATTATGCCTATGTGTCACTGTAACACTAAAGGTTTGAATGATTTTAAATTATATTCATCGTTATAAAAGTATTAAAAAGCCATTAAAAATATCGAAGTTCATTGTAAGAACATGCACATACCGTATTATATTATTATTTTATAAATATTATAAACTTTACGTTTGGATCAGTAATAAACCGTGTTTTTTCTAATATTATTTGTTTACCTGTTAATTAGGACTATTATTAATCTATAGCATCTGACAAAGTGTATCTTTACCCTACTATAATGTACATAATCTCGTCTATTATCAAAACAAACAATTGACGATTTACCATTAAGCCTTGATCAATTTCCACTGCTATTACAAACTGACAATTATATATGTGTTACAATACACAATACACATCCGTATTGCATATCTATATAATATATAATACATCTACAATACCATTTAGCCATATGCGAATTGGTAATCTCTATATTATAAATGTTTCAATTCGATATGGTTGATATATCATAAATATTCTAATAACGTATTCCCATTTTTGTTTAATTTTTATTAATTTTTACTCGAAAAACATATAGCACGTTCGAAGTATACAATACAAACACTTATTATTGATTTTCAGATAATTTTATATCAACCGTATGGAAAATCTGTCGATTGGTGGGCTTACGGTGTTCTCCTGTATGAAATGTTGGTTGGACAGCCACCATTTGACGGAGAAGACGAAGAAGAACTTTTTGCAGCCATCACTGATCATAGTGTCAGTTACCCCAAAGGAATGTCCAAAGAAGCCAAAGAAATATGCAAAGGGGTAACATAATTATAATATCACCAATACTAGAAACCTAATAGAAGTATATTTTTATTAATTTATTTTTTACGTTTTGAAATATTTCTATTTTTTGAAAACTAGTTTTTGACTAAAAATCCAATGAAAAGATTGGGAGGAGGTCCCAGGGGTGAAGAAGATATTCGGGGACATGTATTTTTCAGACGTATCGATTGGGCAAAAATTGAAAACCGGGAAGTGCAACCGCCGTTCAAACCAAAAATCGTAAGTGTTCCTTACAACGCTTCATTAAGATTCCGTAAAATATTAATATCATATTTATGTTATAGAAACACCGTAAGGACGTGAGCAATTTCGATAAGCAGTTCACTGGTGAAAAAACAGATCTTACTCCCACTGATAAACTGTTCATGATGAATCTAGACCAAACAGAGTTCATGGGTTTCTCATTTCTCAACCCAGAATTCATTCAGCATGTATAATTTATTTATCTCCTTTATAAGTATCCTTTTTTCAATTTTATTACAGGGTTTTCCTTTACACTCCTTCGCTATTATCTTATCCCGTCTTTGTCTACCAATTCCGAATTCACTATAGTCAATTGGACATTACACAACACCCATCGAATTTCTTTCAGTGTTTTTAACTGATATACTTTTTGATCATTATCCCTAATCACGTTATCAAAACAAAACAAAATGTACACATATTTTCTGTTTTACAATTCAGTATTACTATTATTACAACTACTAATACTATTTTTATTACAGTTCAGCCGACCCTATTATCATAAATTAACTAATTTACATAAGTAGAACACGACATTCTGCGGAATGTTTTCTGCATGTCTGACCTTTATTGTCATACCACACACAGTATTTTCTATCGTAAGTTTAGAATATTATCATATATTTCGTAGTATTGATGAAGAATAATCAGTCAGCAAACGTTTGTATTTTAGAGTTTGAATGTAGGTATACGCGTTTTAATTTGGGCGCACATGAATTGCCTTCCAAATATAGGTAGATGACCTTTTTCCACTTGAATTACCGGTGTGTTTTCGTAGGTATTTTTGAGTATTAAACAGCCGATTATAAATTAATATATTAATAGTTCGTAATAGAACTATCGATTATTTTGTCAATTTCCGTAATGTTCAAAAATATTATTTTTATGACTTCATACACACGTTACTTTTATTACCAATTATTACTGCTCTGTTAAGCGCGTATACAAAAATATATTTTAAGAGGGGGAGATTAAGGTTTTTACACTTATATAACGAGAAGTGCATTGACTGTTATCATTTTTGCTTTATAAAAATATATTTAATAATTTTCTTTGGAGGGGGGGGGTAAAGTTCTAACCTAGGGGACCTTGTGTATGCATTTGGGTGTGTTGGTCTATTTATTTATAGTTCAATTTATTTATTTTATTAATTGTTCCTATAATGTAAGGGTAGATTTATTTTCATCTGGATAAATTGTCGTGTATGCATTCATAGAAGTTTTAGTAAAAAAAAAAATCAATGTTTACAAATTCAACTTGAAATCAATTTAATATAACTATCAGAGACGATTCCAGTACAAAGGGTCACTACCTAAAATAAAAAACAATTATTTAAGTAAATGATATTTTTTAAATCAAGAGGTAATTCCATTAACCTTCTTAAGAGATTTTTACTGGAGGCAATTCGAATGTGACCTTTAGCCCTTTAACTTAATGTGACACTGCAAGGGTGTATGGACGTTAATATTAGAACATCGTTCCGTGAAACGGGATAAAATTGGGACCATTGCGCCGATTGATATGATGTATGGCTTTAATCGTTTTCCATAATTTTAATCCAAAGTGAAGCAACTTTTAGAAATACATTTAACATTCTAAATTACAAGTTCTATCTGTGATTTAAACAAGTGCAATAGACACAAGATGTCATTAAATTTAAATAATATTTCTCTCGTTTTATATTAAATAATATTCAATGTAAGAATATCCTAAACAAATATAGTTACCTCGTTTCCGTTTATCCCTTTATGATAAATACGAACAAAGGTGTTTTTGTGTAGAAACGATAGGTTGTGTCTTAATATTTTTTCTCCTTTAAAAATTATTTTAGTGAAAACTTTTATTCATACCTATATAATATAATTATAATTATTATTATTATTATTGCTTAAATGTTTACGTTATTATTAAAATTATTATTAAATTACATAATATATTAATATATTATTAGTCTCTCTCGGTTTAAATATTTCGAGAATATAATTTTGAAACATTATTAATGTTTATTATTCATAAAAGACATTAATTTATTACGGTCGTTTGAAATAAAAGTATATAAAATGGATATTTTTTAGTGTTTTGAGATATATGGATAATAATTCACAAACACCGTGATAACAGTAAGTAAGGTACTTAACTTTTTTTTTTTTTTTTTTTAATAATTCAACGTACATTTATATCAAACGATCTGTATTCCACGTTTAATCATACGTGTTTGCATATTTTAAATAATATTATGATATAATATTTAGGTGATTTTGGGATTAACAACATTTTAAGTGATATTTTACTAAACTATATTCTAGTAAATCAAATTGGTAGTAACTATGTATTGTTTACTTCTAGCTAATCTTTAACTTGCTCACAACTTAAGTCTATTTGTATAACTTAAGTTTAAAGTAGGATCTGGTGTTAAACTTCTAAAAAAAAAAAATATTCAACGATCAAAATTGTATTTACCATAAATGTTTAGTATATTTTGTGTTGTTTAGTTTGTATATAAGTGTTGTACCTTGTACGCCTAATTATTCTTTTATCATTATATTTATGTAATCACATTTTATTGTTAAAAAAGTCTTTTAATATACAACAACTTTGTTAAAAAAATAATTAAATATGTATCTAATAATACGGGCTTGGGGGAATTTAATTCGTATTTATTGTTGATAATTTTTAATGTTATATTATTGTAACTTACATTTTGTGCACTTTTTTTACTTTATTGTTTTATTATTTTCCCTCTCATATTTATAAATATTAAAAATGGTACGCCATTCAATCATTATTATTGTCATTGTAGTCAGTTTACGTATTAATAATTTGTTGCTATTTTATAAACTTCTACCATTATTATTTTATAGTTTGATAAACAATTACTAAGTATTCTTGTTGAATCCTAAATATTCAACTATAAGTACTACGTTTAATTTTACTAATCCATATTTACTTTTATTATTTTTATTTAAATTTCTTATCAATACACTTTTCATATTTTAAATAATTTTAGACACAAATTAGTCGATAGGCTAAAATCGTGTTAAACACATCATTAAATTAAAAATTAATACACCATTCTAAAATAATAAGTATATTAATTGTTTACAATACCGACAATCAATTATCACTTAGTAATTTCTGTCACAATAGTTTATCTTCTTTAATACATTTTATTAATGTGCCAAAATTGCTCTCAGTGTTGTTAAATTAATTACATCTATATAGATTTTAACAATCGTTTAGCTTTTAATTCATTTTAAAATACATTATAATAATATAACTAATAGTTCTAAAATGTAATACGTTGTATTTTATTTGTTTTTTTTCCAATTAAAGATTACTATACTCATACATTGCTAAGTAGCTTGTTTTATTTTACAGATTATTAAAAATTCATTTCAGTGCTGTCAGTTCCAGTCGAGGTTTTGTTTAACTGATGCAGAGGGATCACTGGTCTAAACGTTGATAACAAATTTGGCCTACTTAATAGGATATCGTATTATACGTATCAAAACGTTTCATTTAAAAGCTATTATGTTTGCGCTACCTATACATAAAAGTAATGTGTGTGCGTATTTTTTACGCAACCCAACTCTTCCGACCATTTCTAATCACGAGTAATTAATATAATATAGGTACTTGGTCACTTGACACGTAGCAAAATTTGATATTATGACGTGTACACCGTTCATCGGCGTGTTTTGCGTTAAATGTTTAAGTAAACCTGTTACCAATAGCTTATATAAATTATAATTTTTTGTGACCATTAGCTCTTTACTAGTTTTTAACGAATAACGCTCTTAAAGGGATGGCGATTTTATACTGTCTGAATAATTTATTACAAAATTAGATAGGTTGGAGGAATACGTTGAAATTTTTTTTTATTTTTTGTTTGAACAGTTTTTTTTACTTATTTAGTACGTTAGTATGCATATTATATGTATAATATCATGGATTGGTATTTGTTGAGAATGTGTCACGCTAAGTTTTTCGAATAATTTTTATTTTTAATAATTTTAATCACAACAGACCTTTGTCACCAGACAACAAAGTAAGTAAGTCAAAATAATAACAATATTATTATTTTTTATCGATGTGTACAGTGGTGTACAAATTCTATTAGAGAGAAAAGAACAATACGCACTCACGTATTACACGATATAATATATTAACTACCTACACATGATAACATGTGACTGGCAATTTAATGGATAGGTACCTATGCTGTTTTAAATGTAAGCTCTTTCTCTCTCTCAATATATATATATATATATATAAATATATTGTCTACAGCCAACGCACGCGTTATCGTAATATTATAATGCTATCCTTTACACTGTTATACCTAATCACAGAACGGACGTGTAAAATAATAATATAGTCAACGCAAACTTCCTGCTCACACACACTATACAGAGTGATTCACCAAAAATTCTCATCCCCATTTTTCTTTAATTTAATTTTTTTATTCCATGTGGTTATCTGTATTAATAGGTTAACATTTAGTTTATTCAAATTCTGATTTTTGAAATTATTAAGTTTACTATAAAGGATCATATAAAATTTTGTACACCATTTTAAGGAGTGTCCTATGGTGATAAAAATTATATTATTATGTAAGAATTAAATGTTTTTATTGTGTTTAATGAAACAGGTGATGTTTTTGAAAATTTTGATGTATCTAATTCAAAATCTTAACGAGTAGTCTCAGAGTTATTTTAATATACTAAGGGGTAATATAGTCCTTAAAAATGTTTTTAAAAATTAAATGTCAATGAATTAATATTAATTATTATAAATTTCAAATAACCATTATATACCAACTGCTTCTTGTCCATGAAGTTAAATAATTTAAAAACAATTTCTTAAATTTTGATTTAGATGTTTAGATATTTTTTAATAAATCATCTTCTTAACATGTAACAGAAAAAAGACGATTCTTATTTAAAAATATGTTTTTATCGCCACAGGACACTTCTTAAATAATACCTATAAATTTGAATAAATTCATTATTAAATGAAAAAATGGGGATTTTGGTTTGAGAATCACCCCGTATAATATACGTAATAAGTGTGTAAGTATGTTTTTGGCGTGCCATCCATCAAATATTATTTGACGTTTGGTAATTTTTTTTTTATATACCCGTTAAATTGCTTAGTGCGCAGCGTTTTACAGTAATCGTCGATCCGTTTAAGTTTATGATAAAAATGATATATTTTATATAAATAAATACGACCATGAATTTGTTATTACCCTTTCCAGATACTCCTCCTCGTCGATTTAATTAAGTGCTTTTACAATGAATCGAAAGTTGAAACTGAGAATTTAAACACAAAATTGCGCTTTTCCATTTTATATTTTATTTTTAATGAGTTTGAACCACATTATTATTACATGAATATGACTGTGCTACAGTAGTTTATTTACTGATATAATAATAATAATAGGTACATAATGGTAAGTGGCAATAGTAAGTATAATGTAAAATCATTTTAGAGTATCGAAATACACGGAATAATCGATCAATAATTTAATTGTTTACTAACAAATTAATAATTGTCATGTAAATTTAACATTTCATTTGTTCGTTAATTGGCGTTTTATTTAACAATTTTATACAGGGTACTTCATAAAAAGTGCTTTACACAGTAGTAATAATTATGTCTGAGTATGTAAAAGACAAATTATTGTGGTCAACAATAATTTATTTGTTTAGTTGCGAAAAATAATATGTTTTTCGTATAGGCACTTAGGTAATTGATATATACCAACATTTAGCCGTATCCAAACAGCTGAGGTCAAATCTTGCTTAAAATGTTTTAACAGATCTTGACTAGTTGCCTTTAACCTAATGTTTACCATTACCAATTACTCTCATTATAAAATAGCGGAACTTTTTTTTTTTTTTTAATAACTACAATTTATGTTACTAATAATTATCATTGAAATTACTGTATTTATTCTTTTATTAGGTGTACGCATATTTTTTCATTATCTAATAATAATACCTATCATGTAACGCCATGTTAACGACGTCATGCCATCACATATTTATCTTCGCCTATTATACAGGTATTATGGTCGTATATTAAGTATATTAAAGACAATTGATGAATTTTGCTCTTGGTAAATTAAGATGAATCGGTATAAAAGAATGTAATTAGTTTTGAGAACAACTGGTATATACCCTTTTTAACCGAAATTAATACAAATTATGTATTTGATAAGGTTGATTTGTCTCTAGAAAATTATTTCGTGCATAATTAAGTCGTAACCAATCCGCTGTATCATCTTTTACTGGCGCTTTTGCCTTAGGTCTCCCGTTCACAGCACTCTGTAAGTGTATAAGCATAGTATTTATTAAAAAATATATCCATTTAAATAATACAGTGATATAATACACTGCTATGTAGCTCAGAATTTCCTAACAAGACGCCTTTGCATAAATTATATTAGTATAACAAAAGACAAGTTTATGAATAATATTTTAAATTTTATAAAAGAATTACATGTACAGATATCAGTTTTGTTGACTAGGTACTTATTAAGCTATTCAAATACATATTTTAAACACTTTCATTTAGTGAATATTTTATCTGTTTTAATTTTAATCACATAAAATTTTACAAAAAAACAAAACAAAAAATAATTAATGAGAATATAATTTAATAGTCGTATATAATATATAATTTTTTTTTTTTTTTTTTGCTGATAATTATTTCAAGTAAAAATTTAAATACCTCGACAAAGAAAACAAATGAGTAATATTTATAATTGCGCAAAATGATTATATGGTGTAAAATGTTCTATAAAATTAATGTAAAATATAAAAACGTTACAAAAGTTTCAGTTAGTTTATA